TCAGAAAACAGGTTCCAGCAAAATGTAGGTGGTTTGGGGAGCAAAAAATAATGTAGGGAACTGTATCCTCCTTTAAAACACCTGGCTTTATTCACATGAAATTTATATCACTAGCCGTGGGGAAATCAGTTCTCTTAGCAGAATGGTTAACAGGTAGTGTCTGTCCTCAAACCTGCATTCCAAATAGACTGGAAATGGGGTAGAGGTAGTAAACAAGACTCATTGCTAATGGGTAAACAAAAAGTCCCAGTTATGCAGCCTTAGAGAAGCAAGCACACAGCATTCCCTAAGGAAAGCTGTTAAGCCCATAATACACTCAAAACTGCAGGTATGAGGGCATGCCCCCTGTCTGCAGTGAGAGCCAGTGTGCTAATTGCTCAGTTTCAGTATAAGTATTTGCTAGAGATATGATTTTAACGGAGCTAATATTGATACGTCCTCTACTGTTAGCACAGCTATGATAACATAAAAATGTTCTAGTGGGGTTACAGCTTTGCAATAGAAATGATGAACTGTCATAAATGTGTTAATACTCATAACTGTTCTCAGTATGGCTTTATGGATTTTACTGTGGAAGTGCACAGAAAGCCAAACAGATCCTGCATGTAGAGAAGCTGGCAACCTTTCAAACATGGTCCTCCCTCCATTTGTGCAGTTGTTTACCCATTCATGGCAAATTCCTTTACCCTCTGTTGTCACATCTTGAAATTTCTGAAGTGTTACTGCAAGTATTCTGCTTGTGATTTATTTTCACAGTCATTTATTAAATGCATCCTGGCTTCTTCATATAGGTTGAAGTTGTGTTCTGGTTTTTTAAGCTGTTGCTTTTACAAACATAAGCTTTGAGTCCTTCACATCAGTTGTTCCACAATAATCTAGAGAGTTTTTGCAGTCACCTACTGTAAAAACAGGAGGGATCATTCTAGACAACATGTGCAGTCTTCTGATATGTCTTGAAACCCACCAACAAGCTTCAAACAAACTTTTATCAGTCACAAAAATGAGCTGCAGATAACTTGAAGAATGAGTAAAATTAGGATATCTTGTCCCAGGCAGACAATTTAAATTTGCTTAACAATGGAAATAGCTGAGAATAGATGCTGCTGTTACTTCTTTATGGGTTTACAAAGATTGGTTAACAGTTTTCTGTTCACTTTTTGGTTCACCTTTCAGTATACTCAAGTTCTTAGAATCCACTTATATTCCACCTTCCTATATATTGGAGATGGAAAAAGCTGCCAAGCAAGGAGACATCATTTTGGTGTCTGGAATGAAAACGGGGAGTTGTAAATTAAAAGCAAGAATACAGGAAAGTGTCTATAAGGTAAGCAGCTTGCATTTATCTTTTTTTCTTTTATTATTTAGTCTTACAGTCCCACATGACAGGAGTCCTGTGAGTTTACCCTGCCATATTTTTGCTGTTGTGGATATTAGTGCTGTCCCCCTGCCTGCATTGTCTCTGTAGCCTGTATTGCAGAAGATGATCACCCTGGAAGGCTCAGAGTTTGGTGCAGTTACCTAATCCATGAGCGTGCATGTGCCAGAGCTCACTCCTAAGCATAGCTCTCTGACAAAAGGCCCTGTGGCACAGAAGCAGACTTCAAATACTTCTGTGCAATTTTATTACTCTTGATAGCCATATAGTAATGTATAAATATATAATAATATATGTATTTATAATAATATATGTATGTATATAATAATATATGTATATAATAATAGCCATATTATGTATATAGCATCATGCTGGATAGGGCATTGGCCCTTTAGGTTTTTAAAAAAATTACCGACTAGAACATTTTAGGTCTTTTTTCCAATAAACAAACAGCTAGAACAAGAATCACTGTATTGGATATACCTTTATTTCCTGTTGTGCTAGAAGTTAGTGTCATATGAATACCTTGTTAGTACCTAATTCTGCCCCATTAGACTTCTGGTCGCCAAGGAAGGGATTTGGGATCATGGTGTCAGTGCTGCAAAGCTGTTGGACTGCAGAGCTGGCAGCCTTCCCAGCTGCTATGGATCCATGCTGGTTCTTTTTGTAAATTATGGTGACTGGGTTTTTCATTTAACTCTGGTAACAGAATTGGTTTTTCTCTTAATAGAATTTACAAACACTTGAGAGTTTTTATGGGTTACTGCTTACAGGGATACTTGACATTGCATCAGCTCAATACTGCCCCTTAAAAAAAAATCCTTGTATAAAATGGTGAGGGTTTTCTGAAGTTCATCTAATGTCTGCAGTCTGTTTTTGTTGTACTTACTGGTTTTGCTTAAAGCTGAATTGACTTGGGCTATCTAACCCATACCTGTAAAAAGTATTCTATGAAAATAATATCTGAATGTATGCTCTACTAGTAACATGGCACAAATAATAGCGCATATTAAGAATTTTCTTTTTGCTGTAGTTCTATCTTAGCTGATTGTGCTGAGTATAGTTACTCTACATGGTATATCTGACTTTCTTTCTGGAATGCTTGTAGTTTTTTATTCCATTTTATTTTAGTATTTGTTTTTCTGGATTAGTTCTGAGGTGATAAGTCCAACTGAAGTAATCTTGTTCTATTTGTGCTTTTTTATGGCTTTCTGCTTAGTAGTTTCTTTAAATCTTTCTCTGCATCCAGACTGCCCATTTTTAGTGAACAGCCCTGAAATAACTGTAATAGAATTTGTACAATTATCCATTGTATTCCCAATTGAGTAGACCAATGAGCTTGATACAGATCCCTCAGTGAAGTTATAAAGGTTGTGTTGTATGGGGGCACCATGTTTTACAGGAAGGAAAGTAATTTCTAGGTTTCTGAATAGTCACTGTGGACCTCTCTCAAATTTTCCTCTATTCTCCAGAAAGCTGAACAAAAATGATGTCCATAGAGCCAATTTTTTCTCTGTACCAACCATTGTCCTTTGCACTTCCCTCTTGTGACAAAATTTGAGATTATAATAAATAGGCAATTACAGCAAGTAGTATTTTTCACTCATAGATTATAAGTTATTACTGCATGGTCTGTTACAAACAAATGAGCTACTTTAAATGTTGCTTTTTTTCTTCCCCCCCCCCAAATCAACAGGAAGTACAACCTGCAGAAATCAGATTGCTTATTTTGGAAAACATCCTTTTCAGTCCAGCGTATGACGTTTATCTTCTGGTGGGAACATCAATTCAGTACAGAGTTCAGAAAATAAGGCAAGGGAAGATTACAGGTTTGTCTTGGTTTGGGGGGGGGTTACAATACTTTGTGTGAATTTTTAACTCCTGAGAAATTTTCAATTGTGTTTAAAATACCATGTGAATATTTAATAGTGTTTTCCTAAACCACACAATAATACAGCTGTTGTTTTAGTGTTTTTTTTCTCTCAAATAATTTGTGTTTATAAAGGATATATACACTTGCTGATTTGTCATGGACCTGAAGCTAAGGTTATCTTAGAACAGGAGCTAACACTATAATTGATTTGACATTGACCAAGGAACTGTGTCTGAGTTTCTTAGTCAAATCAAATTTAGATAGCTAGCTTTTCTAACAGAAAGCATTTTCTTGACAAATGGATTTGCTCCACTTCTACAAGTGTGGGTTAGCTGGCTTTATGTCCATATAAAGGTGTGGAAGTTTGTAGTTGCATCTGTTGCTTACAAGGAGCTTGTGCTGGTAATTAAGTTATTCTTCTGTTTTTCTTTTTTCCTGGACTGCTAAACCAGGCTCTCTGCATGGGGGAGGTAATGTAGTATGGAGTAACACAAATTGTCAGTCACTTGTTGAAAGTGTTCTGTCCACTTTTGAGGCTGCAAATGAATTGGATGTTAAGTCTGAAGTGCAGGGTGATATTATTTGGGAAGTGCAGCATTGAAATAAAGTTATGCCAGAGTCTCTGTGTGTGTGCGCCTGTTGGTAGAAGTAGAAATGTTATTTCTAAAAGACATTTAATGGGTGCACGAGGCATCAATAACAATGAATCAGCAATAATTAGCAGCATGTGAACACCGAGACACGGGCTGTTATTGTTTCATGTGTTGTCTTCTTTTATCTGCAGAATTAACGATGCCATCTGAGCAGTACGAGCTGCAGCTACAGAACAACATACCTGGTCCCAAGGCAGACCCATCTTGGCCAGTTGCCAAGTTGGACCAGGCAACACTGGTGGTTACTGCATTGTATCAGGGACAAACCAACCTCGTCCTTAGGCACAAGAGTATCCTTCCTAGGTGATGCTTTTCCATCCAGATCTTTGTGGCAGGAGACAAACTTTCCACCTTTTGCAGCACAAAAAGATTAAATTGTCCATGTTTGTGCCAGTAGCCTGGAAAATCAGGAGCACCAGGTAGAGCCATAGAAAGCAGGACTGCTGTGAAATCAGTCTCAAAAGACTCTGCCTGGTGCCTTGAAGTGTTCTGAGAAATTGGTTGGCAAAAGATCATTTAAATCATGTCTGTCCCACTCAGTCAATGTGAAAATGTGATGGAGCTTTATTTAATTTTTATATTTAAAGCACTACATTCTCTAGTGGGAGCTCTCTCAAATGCTTACTGTCTTTCAGGACAGTAGAGATAACATTTATTTCCACTGTACAGTTACTTTCCACTATAAAGTTAATTAACTTTAAATACCCAGAGAGGCACAAGGAGCCTCAGGATCAAGCTGATCTTTACTTGACTTTTGACAAAACTTTTCTGTTCCTTCACTGAGACTCCAGGTATTCGCATGCAGGGGGTTTCCAGGCTACCCAACAGCACCATCTATGTTGTAAATCCTGAGTATCTAGGTTGGTACTGGCTGCAGTTTCCCTGATGGCTTCAAATCATTTCTTGCCTTGTTTTTACCTTGGTGTTTTTCCATGTGTATATATATGCTTCCATTTCTTGTATTACTGTCCATAGAAAAGTAAGTTTATTCCTAAAAGTAGCTCAATGTGAAAGAAGTTTAGTAGTAAATATTTACTTTGTTTCACGGCTGCATTCAGCAGCTTAAACCAATGAATGTGCATCTTCAGTGCATGGGCACCAGAAGGAAAACACTTCTGTTCATTATGTACAGAGGCCCTTGGTTCATGCTGGTCAATATCTCCTGTTTTGTAGGATTTACAGTTCATCCAGGTGACAGATGGGTCCTAGAAACAGGCAGACTTTATGAAATCACAATTGAAGTGTATGATAAATCAAGCAATAAGGTGTATTTATCTGATGTAAGTACAAATGTTGATATACTTCTGAGTGTTTGTCTCCTAAATCCTGGCTTTCTCTGAAATCAGTTGAGCAGTTTCTTTTTTATAGTGAGCTAGAACACTTCAAAGCATGTTTCTTGCCTTTTCCCCTATGATTTGTTAGTTGTTTTTTGTTGTTTTTTTTTAAATAAAGCATTCTGGATGATGCATGATAAAGTGCACATTGGAGTCTTAAGTCCTGCAGAAAAAGCTGGAAGAAGTTGGACAATGCCCTTCATAATTGTAGCATGGGCATTGGACTGGAAATCGGGAATAGTGGTAACAGCTGGAGAGCACTCCCAATACAGTATTTCATCTCATCGGAGCCCCCAAAATAAAAGTTTATCACCTTTAGGGGCAATCTTTCCTCTTAAAGAATGGGGGATCAGGTGGACTTATAACACTTTTGGGGAGCTACCTGTTTCCTTTCACTTGATCATAGGAAAAGCTTGGATAGTAAGCCAGCATTACAGCACTTCACTCTTTGGGAGTTAAGATGAATTCTAGGTGCTAGATACTTTGCTCTTAAAAAATTAATCAAACAAGATTTAAATAGTTCCTTAGCAAGCAGAAAAATGTTATTAAATTATTGCTTTTCAGAATACTGAGCTTCTGTGAATGTTACTTGTTTTGCACTGTTTGCTTCCTGAGAAATAGCTGAGTTTCAGCTGGATTTCTGAAACGTGCTATCGGCGCAGTGCATGTGCTTGTTCTTCCCTTTTGTGTTTAAGAATGGTGAAAGAAAGAAATTATTATGAAATATGTATTATTTAGTGTTACAAATATTGTTACTTTTTGTGTTAAATCACATATAGCTGATAATTTTAAGAAGCAAATGTTTGCTGTGGTGGTAATGCAGTGTCTGAAAGAAAATCTTGTTGAAAGACTGAAACTTTCATAGAGAAATTCTTACTCTGATTCAGACAAGTTTCTTTGAACTATGTTATTAAACAGATGTTTTCTCATGGATTTGTAGCTAACATGCTTATGGCTGTCACTACAGTATTAGTATCAGTTACCTGTGGCAATATCTCTTTATTGTTCTGGTTTTAGAGTATCAGAATTAATACAAAGCTGTCCAAAGAATATTTTGAGGTGCTGAAGTCGTCTCTGAATGGGTCGTATCATTATGTGAAAGCAATAAAGAAGGGTCAGACTGTTATTGATGCTGCACTGACATCAGTAATAGATCAGGTATGTTGATAATAAAAACTTCTGCTTCACTGATAGGCATAAAAATAGTTTACTTGTGCAGTAGTGACTTAATAGTGACATAGCAAGTCAAAGAATTACATGAGTCTAAGCTGCCTCTATTTAAACAGATTAAGAACCAAATTCTAAAATCCTTACTTCAGGAAAACTGTCAATTGAGTCAACAGAGGATTTGCTTAAATAAAGACTGTGGGATTTTGCTGCCGAGTGTGTGGCAAACTCCTGTGAAACTAGTGGTGACTGTTTTTTTCATGGCAGATACTTATGTGGGCACATGTTGTATCCTTGTGCTGGTCCTCTCACATTCTCTGAGTGAATTTTACAATTTATTGTGGTAGGATCATCAGTGTCATACCCTGGCCTTGTTCTGCATTCAGTTACATTTGGAAAGTTTTCTCTCATTTGGTAAGTGATGCTAAATGCTGGAATGAAAATCTGCCAAATGTATCAGCCTGCAAACTCCTTCAAATTAATATTCATTAACTTTCTGCTAGTTGGGCAGGCTGCTGAATGTATGGTTAACTAGGGCACGTGGTGTGAAAGTGATTTGCTTTTGCTTGGAACTTGGAAAAATTCAACACTTCAACCCATTTGCTTGAGTAGGATTTAGTAGATCCCTGTATATGATAAGCTGTGCTCATTCTCTGTGTTAGAGAGGTACTCTTGAATGAAATTGGGTCTACTGAGAGCTGTTGAAGTTCTCCTTCAGAACTCCAGTCAGGAGCAGTTTGGTGTGCCAGAGGGCTGCGACATTACAATGACAGCTAAGTTTTTAAGGCTAGTGTTACCAGATGAGTGAGAAATGGATCTTTAGGCCATTAGTCTTAGAGTTTTGTCTTCTCCGACTGTGAGTGGAATGAGCAACTAGTAAAAGCAGGTGTGAAGTTGCTGAATTAGCTCTCCAGATGAGGCCTTAAAAACTAGGAGTAAAAAGGCCGACAGCAACAAGAAATCCAGGCTTTCCAAGTGGATGTGGGCACCTGTATCTCCGTAGTAATGCTGTTCATTTAATACAATAGCACACTTTGCTGCAAGGGGCTGACTGTTTGCTCACAAGTAACACTGTTCATAAGTGACCCTAAATAACTGCTTTCCTTTCTCTCTGAGGTGTTCTCAACAGCTTGTCTATATATAAGACCTAAACATTAATTCTAGAAAGAGCTGTGGTGCCATTTATAATGCTGTGCTCTTGCTTTTTGCAGGATGGAGGGGTCCATATGTTAGCAGTTCCTGTACGAAAGCAGCAAGATGTAGAAATATATCTTCCCATAGTTCTTACTCCCAGTATTTTGACGTTTCCTTGGCAGCCAAAAGCAGGAGTCAACCAGCACCTCATCCAGGTATGCCAAAGAAGACTAATTGCAGGAAGTGTCACTCAAGCAGGTGTAGCAAGGCATGAAACCACTTAAATAGAGTTGGCTTTGGATACTTCAGGCACAGTGATACCCAAAACTGTATTTGGAGGAATTTTGTTGCATGTTAGTTGCAGGAATTAAAGTGTAATTTTAAACAAGCACACAAGAAACCAGCAAACATGAAGCCCCACCAACTTGTACCTCTTGTCTCTCATTTGCTTCCTGTCTCCCTCAGACATGCACTGCACATGTATGCACACAGTGGTTTGGAATTACAGAAAACATCCTAGGTACTAAGCTTCATAGTAAGGACTGGAGGCAACAGGCTGACCATGAGCCAACAATGTGCACTTGTGGCCAAGAAGGCCAATGGCATCCTGGGATACATCAAGAAGAGTGTGGCTAGTAGGTTAAGGGAAGTAATTCTCCCCATCTATTCTACCCTAGTGAAGCCACATCTGGAGAATTGGGTCCAGTTCTGGGCTCCCCAGGTCGTGAAGGTTAAGGAGCAACTGAAAGGGTCTAGCACAGGGCAACAAAGATGGTTGTGGGATTGGAGAATCTCTCATATGAGGAGAGGCTGAGACAGCTCAGGCTGTTCAGCCTGGATAAGAGAAGGCTGAGGAGGGATCTCATCAGTGCTACTACAGGGGGTGTCAGGAGGCTGGGGCCAGTCTCTTTTCCTCACTGTCCAAAGACAAGGGGCAATGGGCACAAGCTGGAGCACAGGAAGGTCAAGCTAAACATGAGAAAGTTCTTTACTGTGAGGGTAATGGAGACCTGGGACAGGCTGCCCAGGGAGGCTGTGGAGTCTCCTTCTCTGGAGACATTCTAAACCCATCTGGATGTGCCCCTGTGGGGTCCTCTGTAGGTGATCCTGCTCTGGCAGGGGGGTTGGACTAAGTGATCTTCCCCACCACACTGCCTGCTGTGAAGGGCTGGCAGTGTGGATCAGTGACTGCCAGCAGGGCATGACAAGGTTCCTGAGCAGCACCCTGTGAACGTCACTGTCATTTGCTGCTGCTTCTAATAAAAAGTTACAGGGAGACAAAGGCCACAGATTGATTTATAGTGTGCCCTTCTAAATTGATGTTTTTCTTACATTCCTTGTGTGTCTTTCCTTCCATACACTTCCTGAGGCAAATTGCTGGTTTTCCAGTATCCAGAGTGTAGTCTTAACTGGAGAAAAGACCACTGTGCTTCCCCAGCCTGGACTCTTACCTCAGTACAGTGATACCCAGATCTCATTCTCAGGTGTTTTGTGTACAGTTCCTACCTCTCCCTTTTGCCATGAAGTCTTGCCGAGTGTTGGGTCCCTCTTCAAGTGAACAGGATGGAGAAAGGGGGTGGGGGACAGTGTCTGAACTGAAGGAGTCAATCTCGTAGGCTAAAATTGCACTGTCTGGTGTAAATCTGAAGTTACTGCCATAGAGTCTAGCACTCTCATCTATAATTTCAATTATTATTTTTGCAATTAGTTTGGTTTAGTTTATGCTACACCCAGCCACACCAGCAGAGTGTGGTAAAAATTCTGAGTACAAATAAGCATTTTCAGTGCTTGATCATAACTTCTGCTAGAGTTTTCCCAGTAAGGGAAAGTAAGTGCAGTTTTCTGCTTCACACCTCTTCTCCAGTTCTGTTATTGTCTAGACTTTTCTTGCATGTATCATTAAATATCTCACTAGAGAACATTCATTCATGTTACTCCAGTAATCTGCATCAATAATCTCACTTTACTGTGATTTTTTTTTAAATTAAATACATAAAAACTTTTTTTCTCCTGACACTTGAAATAATTTGCATTTACTGAAACTGAGAACATTTTCCCACTCTGCCCATTCAACAATACTGGTGGTTGTAGAAAATAGCACAAAGCTTGGCTGCTGTTCCTGCCTGTAGATTAGTGTTTGCCTCCTACACTAGTTCTTGAGTCAGGCTGTTTTAAATTGGTGAAGAGACTTTTTTTCTGCAAATAAGCTGAAAGGGATTTTTGGAACTAGCCAAATTCTGTTTATAGCTAAAGTAACTCCTTCCAGATGGTATCAGAATGTCTTCTAGGTTTTACTTTGTCAGCTGTCTGTTTTCTGTTTGTTGTTTTCTTCATATTTTTGCTGATAAGATGGCTACTATTGCAAGGAAAAAGGAAAAAAGGACATTTTCTTCCTTCCATGCATTAGAGAAGTGAAGTGCCACCTTTGTGAAGCCAAGTACATGGAGGTTATTTTTTTTCCAGTGAGGGTATCACCATCAGTGCTAAGAGTGGACTGGAGTTCAGCCAGCAGGCTGTGGATTAATTAGACTGAAGCAGAAGCTGGTTTTACCCTTTCTTTCCTCAGTGCATACTGACTGCTAGGAAGACAAATGTAATTAATCTGGTTTGTATAGCAATAAGATGTGACTCCATAGAATTATTAAGAAATAGATATTTCTGTTTCATGTTTTCATTCCCATGTTTTAATTGAAAATATCTTTACAAAACATCCTGAACTTTTACATTCTCTAAATGTTTCTCACTACATCCCATGCATCTCCTTCTGTCACACACCATCTTTCCTAGTCATCCATTTGTCTTTGTCCAGTGCTCTTTCTTTAATCAGGTTGTGCACTTGCTTATGGTAAGGAAAAAAGGCAAATGACTGTCCTTTTGATAGACTTATTTTTTTTTTGCCCCTGGTTAAAGTTATTAGCTAAGCTCCTGCATAACTTAGATTTATTTTCCACACTGTCCTTCTATACAAGATTTATCATCTTGTTCATTTTTAGTTTAATTATGGAATGAGTTAGAGCAAAAGCTAACAAAAAAAGAGGAAGTAATGTTCACTCTTTTTCTAATCTGATGGAACTTTGAAATGTCTTTTTGGAGTATGGAAGCTTTTTGGTGGTTTCATTTGGGTTTTTAAACTTGCTTTAAAAATTGTGTTATCCTCAGGATGCCTTTCAGCACAGTATTTGCTTCAGCAGACATTTCCTGTAACTCATAATGGTGTTGTTTAAAACATACATTTTATAGCATTATAATGATTGTTTCTTCAGTAACTAGTATTACACATCTAGGAGGATGGTGCTATGGTGTGTTGGCAATGTGTTTTTTGCCCTTCACTTTATAAAGCATGAACCTGCAGCAGATACTACCTTGGCTGCCAAGGGCTCATTCAGTGAGTATAATAATTTGTCCCTATTGCTGTGGGCCATAATATCAAGTAAGTAGTTCTTACCCTTCTGTAGAATAATATTCCACTCACTCAAGCTCTTCTAGTTTTGAAACAACCCTTCAAGAGTTGGCAGCTCTAGGAAAAGGGTAGGTTTTTCTTTTTGTTGTTGGTTTTTTGTGGGTTTTCTATGGGAATCTGCATGATAAACCTGAGCTTGTAAGTGGCAGTTGCTGACTCCTGCCTTGCAGAGCCCTGGTGGGATGGCAGCCTGGCTGCTTCGCGGGCCCCGCGGTGCTGCTGCCAGGAGTGGGCAGTTCCCATATGTGTTCATTCCAGAACTGAGCAGTTGCTGGAGCAGCATGTTTATGGAATGGCTGCAGGTAGATCAGCTGATCTGCAGCATGAAAGTACAGAAGTAATGCTAAGAAGAGTAACTTTATTTTTCTTTTTGTTTTTTCCCCCCTCTTGCCTTATTCCCTCCCTGCCTCCCACCTTCTGTTCCCTTCAGGTGCCTTAACAATTCCCACTGAAAGAAGCTAGCAGGTACAGTGTGTTAGGTTAGCAACTCTGGGACCCGAGGTCAGCCCTTTGGCTGTCAGCAACAGGGAGACAGTGTGAGTTCTGGGAAGTACAATGATCCCACGTGCAGGCCTCTGGGCTGCCTGTTTGTGAACTGCTCTGCTGACTCAGCACTGTCAGTCCCTGGGAGCTGTAAGCATCAGGCTTCTGCAACTGGGAGAGACGTGTGGGTTAACAGCACTGATGAGCACAAAGGATATGAGTATGAAGAAAGCTGAATTAAAATGAAGGCAGGGTAGTCATCTTATCTCTGACTTCAGCTTGCTTATTTGAATGTTCTGAAGTGTTACTTTATTTGTATTTCCTCAGTAATAGCATTGTTGTGGCTCAGTGTGTCCCTGGTTTTTGTGCAAGATATTCAACGGCTTGACAGCTAAAAATGTGAGTACCATATACTTTATAAAATATTTGAAGTATTTTCTCTCTGTATTCTAGGCTCAAGGTGGAAGTGGAAAATTCAGCTGGTTCTCTTCTAACCAGGCAGTTGCAACAGTGACAGCCAAAGGAGTAATGGCAACTGGAAGTGACATTGGCATCAGTGTTATTCGGGCAACTGATGTTCAGAATCCATTGCATTATGGAGAAATGAAGGTAAAACTTATTTCCCCAGGTCACTCTTCAATATGGCTTTTGGAAACAGTGAAGAAGCTGAGAATACCATAGTCATTCCCTTTTCCAAGTAGTTTCCCTGCTTGTCCTGTGGCAGGTTACGTGCTCAGTTTGAGTCTGTGCTTCTGGGGATTCAAGCTCTCTCCACTTCATTAACTTTACTCCTATTTTTTGCCCCTTTCTGATTTCATTGGCAAGTCATTTTTCTTGTTGAAAGTTTTGAGTGCAAAAAGGAGATAGTAATTTATTGCTTGCTGAGCCATCTAAGCAGAGAAGCCAGACTAAAAATGCATTCTGCAGGGGAAGAGGTGGGTGTTTTCCTTTAGTATAAAAGGATGACAGATACCATCAAGTTGCACAAGGAAACTCCTGCTTGGAGAAGTGGCTGAAATGAATATAGTGCCACATAATAAATCCAGATACCAAAGCTGGCCAAGACAAAAATAATTTTTTAGGAAAATTAGGAGAAAATGGAAATGAAAAATATATCTCCCAAGAGGTTTTGTGGTCTCTGTGCAAATCATACCCTGTTCTTAGTACTTGGTCAGGGTGATCAGTGTGTGGTATGGGGTGAGGAAAATACAGGAACAGTCTATGTAATGGCCCCACAGGAAAGAGGGT